GTTTGAAACTTGGTGTGTGGGTATAAAATTACAAAAGAAAATGTTTTTATCCTTTGATATTTTTGGATATTTTGAAGAATAATGTCATTTTTTGATGTTTCTTTTTTTAAATGTCAATTTTGACAGGTTAAGGAAATCACGTGACCTATTTTGTAGACGCCATTTGACATCATTTCTTAAGCAAAATCTACTGCCAAAATCAAATTTCACTGCTCAACTATAGTTGAGCAGCTATTCTCACATGTAGATGAAAATAATTCAAAGTTTTGAGAGTCGGAAAGTATGAGGGAGGAAAAAGCCGTTCGTTAAAAATTGAACTAGATTCTAACGAAACTGTGAAACAGGTATTAAAATACCGTAATGAAATGTATAAAATATATACATGGGATTCCCAAAATTGTCAACAAACAGAATGAAAAAAATAAGTCAAAAAACTAATCTGCTCCTGCACTAAACTAAATATTGAAAGTTTATTAGCAAATAAAATTCAATTAATAGCAGATGTTTGTTGTTGCAATCCTGCAGTGATTCTGCTTAGTGAATCCAGAACAACAACTGATATACACTACACGATTTTGAACTGGAAATTAGTAACTATACACTTATTAGATGTGATTCAGACTCTAGACTGGAGGTGTTGTTATTTACATACGAAAGGGAATCCAATTCGTACATTATAAAACATTTATTCACAGAAACAATTATTGGTGTAAGTTTATCAAAATTACATTTTGTGGAATAAAGTGGGCAATAGGCAGTCTTTACCACTCGCCAAGTGCAAGTCATGCTACATTCTTGGAACATCTGGTAAGTATTTGTGAAGAAATGTTTTGTAAAAACCTTCGCACGGTGTTAGTCGGTGATTTCAATTTGAATTTTGTATCTAACGAATTTTATGTCAAAAAGACCAAAAAACATTTTAATACATATGGTTTATCTCAGAAAGTAACAACCTTTACAAGAATTACTAATAACAGTAAGACCTTAATTGATTATGTGTTAACTAATTGGGACAGCACAGCAACTGTTTTGGATGAACCTACACTAACAGACCACCTTTTAATATATGTTAAAGATTTTCATGGTGAAAAAATAAACTACAGAAACAAACAAACAAAAACTGTTAGGAACTTGACAGAAAGAAATTTTCTCAACATTAATCTTAATTTAATAAATTGTAACTTTTCACTTAACAATACAAATGTGAATCAGATTTATGATAACATTAAAGAAAATTGTGAAAACATCTTAAATGAAATTGCGCCTCTAAAAACAATTACTTTCTATGAAGAACATCTGCCTTGGTATGATGGTCAAATCAGAAGGTTGAGTAAAGAAAGAGATTTTGCTTACAAGTTATTTAAAAGAAATGCTGATGATTTTAATTGGCATGATTATAAAAATGAACGTAATACTGTCGTAAATATTATAAAGGTGAAGAAAAGTCAATATTATGTTAATTAGATTGACAGCAACAAACATAACCCACGTTTAATGTGGAAAACTCTAATAGTTATTTATGTATCAAGGGAATTAGGAGGGCCTTAATTACCGATGGCAAAGTTTGCGTCCCGAGGGCCTCTGGCCCGAGAGACAGCAATTGCCTGAGGTTATTAAGGCTCATTAATTCCCGTGGTACATAGATAATTTTATTTCTGACCGATTTCAATAAAATTTTGTTCATTTTTGAAACGGAAAAATGTACCAATTCATTACCTTCCCGGTATATTTGANTTCTGTTCAAAAGAAATTTATTAGACCATTTAAGAGACCATTGAGGTATTATGTGATATTTTTTATCTTTCATTCTTTTTTTTGTATTTTCAATCATCGTAGGAAAGACCACTTATTAACAAATATAAGTAAATCTTTTTTGTATTATTGTATTTAAATGTATTAGAATGTTAACAATACTATCATTTTTGTATATTATGATGTTTTTTTTTTTTTTTTGTATTTCCAATTATCGTAGGTGAGACTACTTATTAACAAATTTAAGTAGATCTTTTTTGTATTATTGTATTTATATGTATATTAATGTTAACAATACTATCATTTTTGTATATTAGGATGTATCCTATTTGAATAAAATGAAGCATTTCATACATATAGATTATTTTTGAGTTGGGTATTTCAGTCAATCTCTATGGCTATGGAAACACATTTTTTTGCTAATCAAGCTTTCGGAAATATATTTTATTCCTTTATCAAGAATATCTACGAAATAAAGATCATGCAAATATCATATGGTAATAGATATGTTACAAAAGACTCAACAAAGTTAGTTTAAAATATAAAAAAAGGGCATATAAATCCAAACATCAAAACGAAAAGTCAATGATCTGAAGAGATAACATGTTATGGATTATCAAATACTAAAATTTTAACAGTTGAAAATAATAAATTCAAAAGGCTTTCTCTAGAAATGGCTCTCATGAGTAAAAATAATAATAATTTAAACAAGAAATCAGAAATACAAAATTTAAGTCAAATTTACAATTATATTTTAACTTTTGATCAATGAAATTGAACAAATAATTTCAATATCATATCAATAATAGTTTTTCACTTACACTTACATTTAAATCTCACTGTATGTGCAAATATCATAATAATCAAATTTTCAGGATAGGAATATACTAAACTGGTTTCCGGGTTTTGATCCGTGTACTGTGCTATTATTTCCGATCACACGACGTTTCGATAAAATTTCATTTGTCATCATCTGGCGTTTTCTGTTGAGTGTTCGGAAGTTGACCGACGTTACTCGATCCGCTCCCTACTATATAGGTGAATTGATGTTTATTACGTATTCGGAAGTAGACTGTCCTAACACGATCTGCTTCCTACTATAAATATTGTTGTTGATTTCTATCTGAGTTCCTCTTCTTGATTAACCTCTTCTCCCCGTAAAGGTTCGAAATGTAAAATGTAAAGTTCTCACGTGAGAACCTCTCCAGAATAATAATCATTATTCCGACTCCCACCCCGGAGTATGTGTTTTTGAAGTTGTTTTCTGGCTTTGTCTGCAGGTGGCGCAATGGACATATCACTGAATCAACTGCAGAAAGAATTCATGACTAGTTGGAATTATATTCGTTTGGTCGTGGCCCCCGATCTGGCAAACATCAGTTCAAAGGGTAAGAGAGCTAGGCTCCAACCTGTTTGAAATCAAGACGACGTGCAGGTTTGTTCGTGATACCCAGACAGTTCACTCCGTTCTGAAGAGACCATGCCCGGTACTAATGATGGAGCAAGTATTCCATAACCGGTCTATTGGTTGGTCGTATCGACCAAATGAAATTAATTTCTGGTTTTCATAGTGGGAAATAACTTGCGACGAATCTTTCAAATCGAAGACGTACCACAGGTGCCTGATGGATTAGGTGGGTTAGTTGTGGTTTTTCCGTCGGATATACACGAAGTCGTAGGTTTGCATGAGGGCAAGGTGTAAGGTGATTTTCACTTGAAACTCGAGCATGTCATATGCACCTCTCCGGAATATTAATCATACACTTCTCCAATAAATTACCGCACCACAATGAAATTTAGAAATATTTTGTTGGCGTTAATTGAAACTCCCACTATTTGGTAAACCACTATTTCTATATGCTATTTGTGAATGCCATATGTTCAGACTGTGGTTCAGTGCTTTAGTTTTTTTTCATGCAAATATAAAAAGAAGCACGGAATGTAGGTACCTATTGAATTCGCAAATCTGAACATGTTCAAGACGTGTACTTATTTGGTTACTATACACTTGAGAAGGATTCTCAATTGTGTTTATTATGGTGCGTCAATAACGTAATTTAACCCGTGATGAATGTGCCCAAGCAATAATACGTTTGGAAGAAGGCTGGAGTAACCGACGAATTGGTCGTCGATTCAATTTCTACCACACATCCATCACACGGATCTTGCAAAGATTCCGTAAAACAGGCGATCATGTTTGCAGACCAGAGCAAGGGCAAAATCGAGTAACTACCCTCATTCAGGATCGATATTTAAGAATTTTCGCACTTTTCGTCAGCAACTCAGGGAATACAACATAACACCTAGGATTGCTGCCCTGAGGTATTCTATTAACTGCAGACCATCGAAGGGAGGGACTACGTTTTGCCAGGGAACATGTTGATTGGTAAAATGTTGGCTGAGAACGAGTGTTATTTATCGTGTGAATAACACACGTTCCGTGTTATTTACACGGGAATGAGTATTCCCGAGTGTTATTCTTTGACCGCTCGTACGGACCTCTTGGCCATACATAAATGAGTCCGTTACAGCAGAAAGGTACAAAATGAAAATCTTAGAGCAACACATAGTATCATTCGTTCCTTATATCGGCGGAAACTTCTTACAAATGCAAGACAGCGCCAAACCCTTGTGGCACATATAGCCAGAAAATACATCGAAGAGGTTGAAATCAATACCATGCTATGGCCAGCCCGTTACCCGGACTCAAAATCCAATAAAAAATATCTGGGATATCTTTTGTAGCCAATTGGGAGAGCCCCCGATCCAACCAAACAACCTGCAGGAACTGGGGAAGACACTGATTCAGGTTTGGAGAGAACTTGACCAAAATGAAATAAGGCACATAAGTTCAAGTATAGGCCGAATATGTGATGCTGTTATATGTAGTAGAAGTGGAAACACTCATTATTGACACTTTTGTATATTTTCGTCAACTTTTTTCCAACAATGGTTTGTTTGTAATTCACTTTTTGTCTATGTTACGTCAATCCTCGATTTGACACAGTGTTACAATTACTGCTACTATGTAGGTTAATATTTTTTATTTTTTCTCTGACTACAAATAAAATTAATTCATTGAAGTGGTGCTTTGATTTCTTGAAGAAGTGTATAATAGATATTGTATGTGATGTTTGCCGAAAAAAGGTACATAGAGTGTCAAGCTAAATGAGTTTTGACAATGATGATTTCGGACACTTGAAGGCATGCTCTTTCACATGAAGTTCGTCAAACTTTCGAAAACAATTTTTTAACACTTTCATTTGGTAATTGTATGTTCAGAATCATTCACTGAAAAGAGGTATATGTGAGTCCTTTCAAAAATATACTAAAATTCACAACAGGAAACATTTTTTTTCATTACTTTCACCAACTTCACATTGAAAAGCGGCTTTAGAGTATCTGAATTGCAAATAATGATATTTTTGGTGCATTTTTTTATAATTCTGATGAAATATCGAAACTACAACTTGCAGAAGATTCACCTTCATCACATACCGCATCGTAAATCCCATTATTCGCTTCGAACTCTTTATCGTAAACCTCCTCATTTTTTTGGAATCGTCACTCATGTTCATTCAAATGGAATGTAATTTATGAAAATCAATAATTCACGATAAAATTCTCACGACAGTCACAAAACGGATAGAATCGGCTTCACACGCAGAAATTTTAAGATCTTGGGAATGACATCATAAGTTTGATCAACGAAATAAAAAGAATGATAACGAAAATTCTAAAGGATTTTTTTGAGAATATAAAAACCTGACACAGAAATTTGAATATACATCGAACTTATAAACATCAAGTGTATGAGCAATGCATTTTTTTCAAATTTTTTCATTCAATGAACCAGTAGTGAAAAAATCCCAAAGTAATGAATACCTGAATTTTCGACTTTGGCAGTTTGCTATTTTCGATGACGGTATTTGGGCACCTCTCACTGAATTTGGCCAAAACAGCAGATCCATATTCAAACTCAAATTGGCCAGTTGGATGATATTGATTTGTGGCGGTACTATCCTTCTCAGATTCTAGGTTCAAAATAAATCTTTTGAATGCTTTTTGGACTGTAACGGTTGGATTCACTTGCAGAGATACTGAAATGAATACATATACTAAAATAATTTCACTAATATTCATCAACTTATCATTTTTATTGATTCATTTTCAATATTCCATCAAAAAACCACTGTGTTATATGTCACTTTGGAAATATAAGTTTGAAAAAAAATCTGAAAAAAGGGAAACAGTACTATGTTTCCTTGAATTAAATAATGCAAAATATAAGATAATGTGAATACAAAAGTGCCAAACTTTTAACTAACTCATTTCGCCATAAGACAAAGTGAATAAAGGTCCTTCCTGTCGTCGTTTGGAAACTGCGTATTTGCAGGATGTCGATTCAGCAAAATCAGCATTAACATTGATCTTGTTTATCCATGTCACATTGGGTATGAATAGAGAAGGTAAATAAGCGACATATAACAACTGTTACTGTATTGTTTGGTTATCATTTCTTGCTAACAGGAAATCTTCTTTTCGAGACTGATTCAGTAATCTGCTTTTTGTCGGATGATCTATATTTTCAGATTATGAATCATCACAAAATCTGACAAATCATTCAAAGGAATTGTATGGTGTGATCCGAAAAATTTGTTATTGAAATATAGGAAGTGTGGATTGAGCTGAAATTTATTATTCAAAATATACGAATACATTTCAGTAACAGTTACTTTCCATTCCTATCTTGTGCAATAATACCTATACACTAACTTCCAGTGATTCAAAAAATGTGATCTTCAAATAATACCAGCAACGTTAAAAGTTAAGACCTCGTTAGTCTTTAGCTCGCACAAGTTTCGAGTTCTGAGGGTTGTCGTTCGTAAGGGTGCGACAGCTGGTTAACGGAAAAACAGATTTTGAACAGATTTTTTTAAACTTCACCCATATAGGCGAATTTGTTCTAAAATCTCGCTCCGCATAATATTGGGCCTTTTCTTCCATTCATATCCATTTTATTACAACGGAATTTGACTAAAGGTCACACTCCGTCACAAATCAAGCGCTATAATTGCAAATGAAGCTGAGTGCATATTGGAAGAGTGTAGAGTGACGCAGCACATCGCGTACGGTGGAAGTTGGCGCCCGGACATTACGTGGCGCGATTAGCGTGAAATGTGACTCGCGTGGCACAGTAACTGAGACACAGTTTTTCGTGCCAGTACATTCGTGTATTGCCAAATGCTTTATATTGCACAACATTGCATTTTTTCGGTTTTTTGGGCTCTTTTTTTTGGAACTATTGTAACACGTGCGTCTTGTGCAGGTCAGCTCAATATGCTTAAGTAACCGATGGTGAATTCTATTCTTGATTGCACAATAGAATCCGATAATGCAGTCGTGATTAGATAGCAGAAATCAAGAGCCTTTCTTGCAATGTGTTGTTGAAAGAATACTCAGTTCAATTGTGGTAATCTCGAGTATGGGAAACAGTGGACTGAAACAAAAAATATGTATATATTGTCCTTCATTTGGCATCACTTTCCAGCAATACAATTTACACCTGAAGTAATTGTAGGGTTTCTTTGGAAATGTTTTTGATTTTCTTGAATCCAATGAAGTTATATTTTTTTTGTTAGGTTAGTTAGCCTCTACCATTCCGTTAGGTTTGAGGTACGTCTATGGAATTTTTTCTCATGTTTTCCTAGCTCGTGTTGCTAACTTCTCCAGAGGTGCTTCGATAATAAAAGCTAATTGATGGTGTATTTGGTCTGATACTATTGTTATGTTTTTCCCCGTAGGTTGATCAATAATTGACTACACTGAATATACTCAACTTCATTTCCCTTCAGATACAACAAACACTTCAACTAAAAACTTCAACTATTATTTGAATGTTTATCGCCTCACTAGATCACTTCGCTTCCACACTGTAACGTCCACTTGACTGTATACTTGACTGTATCGATATGCCCGCCACCAGCGCTGAAATATCGTAATCGAACATCGTTGAATTTTCGCCAAAGTTCTTGCTGCTTCTCGAGCGGCAAGAAACATTGTGTATCCCAGCACTCTTAGCTACGTCACGTTTGGTTTGTGGTCACCAGAGGCGACCGGCGTTACTTTCTTTCGGGCAAAATTTACAACAATACCCCCTTTCCTGAGGTTGTTCGTTCCGAGTAACATTCCAAGAGGGAACATCACGACCCATGTAAGGAATCAGCCTCTCTATGCAGACAACTTTAGGCTTGCTTCTGGATAACAATTGGATTCTGTACACCAGATCATTTAACTTTTTGGTTACCAAGTAAGGTCCTTGGCATGGTCTCTGCAACTTGGGACACAAACCTTCCTGACGTTGGGGTTGGTAGAGCCACACTGCATCGCCCACTTTGAACCTCACTGGCAGCGACTTTTTGTCAAATCTTATCTTAATTCTGCCGCTGGAAAGCTGTAATTTGGTCCTGGCGAATTCGTGTACAATTTCCAGTCTCTCCTTCAGGTCATTCACATACTCTGAAAGAGGTACCTCTTGATATTAATCAAAAGGACTGCCGTACAATACCTATCAGAAGCTTCAGTTCCCTACCAGTTAACAACATGGATGGTAAATAACCTGTCGCGTCATATTGGGAGCTCCTGTATGCTAACACAATAAGAGGAACTAATTCATCCCTATCACTTTGGTTTTCGGAGACAAACATCGAGAGGTAGTTATTGATTATGCCTTCCGACCATTCCATCGGATTGTGGGTGAGGTGCAGTTGTTCTTGTCTTCTTCATTCCCAACACAGTCATAATTTCCTTTCATGAATCCCAATCGAAGTTGCGGCCCTGATCCGAGTAAAGTTCTTGGGGTACTCCGTACCTGGCAATTACGTTCTGCAACAGGGCTTCTGCTACCGTTTTAGCCTCTTGGTTGAGTGAGGCCATTTAGAAAAGTAATCCATCACAACCATGAGTTACTCGTTACCAGATGTGGTCATAGGGAGTGGTCCCAAAATGTCGACTGCGATCCTCTCGGAAGGGTACCCACTGCTTCAACTTTCCTCACTGCCTTATTTTCGGACTCTATTTCAAAGAGCATAGGTCACACCGCTTCCACGTTTTAACGGCAATTGACTCAATACTACCTTTCGCGCATTCCCGCTAGAGTTCTATTTTCTCCAAAATGCCCTCCAATGTGACCATCGTGAAGCTGTTCGAGGATACTCGAGATACACGTCTAAGGAAGGATCATCTGGAATTTGTGGATTCTTCCATCCAGGCTTTCCCATTTCCGAGTGAGTAGGTCATCTCGAATGCTCATGGAGTTACATTGGAGCCAGTAACCCTTTTCCTGCTGGCCGTGTTTGGAAATCTTTGGTCATTTCGGTCTCACTCCTTTGGCAACCCATTCTCTCACAGTTATCAAGACAGGATTCTCTTTCTGCGTTTCGATGATGTCTTGCCTTGTCAGAAAGGTAGTGGCATCCTCAGAGGCTGTTAATGACCGTACCACACCATGGTCAGGCGATTTCTCAAATTGGCTGTCCATTTCCCTGGACAAGAGACCCTTACAGGTTGCTACCATCCGGGTCAGAGGAAACCGGAAGCGGCGGGAGGTAGGGGAGCTTATCTCGCTATCAGAGCTGTCCATAAAGGAGTCTCTGTCCGCTAACTTATCACGTCTGGTGTGGAGTTCTTCTTCTGGTAGCTGGGTGTCTTTGTCCTGCTGACGTTGGTGAAATTTTCATCCGGATGTCAAGCATGGTCTTCTTGAGAGGCTATATGCATTCCCGTGACTCTTTCCTTTCCGATGATGAATTTCAAAATCGTAAGTTTGTAAGTTTTTGATCCACCTAGCTATTTGTCCTTCTGGTGTTATGAAGTTGAAGAGCCATCGAAGTGCTGAGTGGTCTGACCTGATCAAAAATTCACGGTAATATAAAAAGGAGTGGTAGTGATCCACCGCTTTGACCACTGCAAGGAGTTCTTTTCCAGTAACGCAGTAATTTGTTTCGGTCGTTTCCAGGGACTTACATAAATAGCTGATGATGATTTCTTCTTCCCTTTGTACGTGGGAAAGTTCTGCTCCTATTCCATGTTGGGGTGCATCCGTGTTCAATATGAACAAGCCCTCCTCCATTGGGTACGCCAGGACCGGTGCGCTGGTCAAATGTCTCTTCAGGGCAGCAAATGCTTGCTGGCATTCTGGAGACCAAACGAGAGGTGTTCCCTTTTCAGCGGTCTGACGATTTTTCCTTCACAAAACGCCGGTAATAGCTACAGAGTCCAAGGAAGCTTCTCACGTCGTGCTTGCTCTTCGGTGTTGGTCATTCTTGCACTGCCTTGATTTTCTCCGAATCTGTTCAAACTTCTTTTGCAGGTACAACGTGTCCCAAGAAATTCACATTTTCTTGGAAGAGGCAACACTTCTTGGAATTCATCTGCAGATGAGCATTCTGTAGCCTCGTAAAAACACTCTTTAAGTTTGACAGATTTGTTCGTCAACACTTTTTCCGATGACTATGATGTCATCAAGATAGACCAAGCATGTTTTCCAGGAAAGTCCTCTCAATATAAACTCCATCAAGCGTTCAAATGTTGCGGGAGCGTTGCATAATCTGAAAGGCATAAACTTAAACTGGTATAATCCATTGCCAGTGGAAAAGGCAGTCTTCTCTTTATCCTCGGGGCAAACTGCTACCTGCCAATTTCCGCTTTTCAGATCTAATGTTGAGAACCATCTGCATTCGGCCAAGATGTTCAGGGTGTCATCTATTCTAGGGAGAGGGTACCTGTCCTTTCTGATGACGTCATTAAGCCTCCTGTAGTTTACGCAAAATCTTGTCGATCCATGTTTCTTAGTCACTTACACAACAGGTGACGACCAGGGGCTATTTGATTCCTCGATTTCTCCTTCCTCCAACATGTCCTCAACAATGGATGCAGCTTTGTCTTGCTTTGCGAAGGAAAGACGTCTCGGTGCTTGACTTATTCTCTCTTCCTTGATGAATCGGGTGGCCTTACATAGTTCTTCCTCAGACAGATGGCTCCACGTCTTCTTTAATGAATCTATGAGTTTCTTCGCGGGTTGTTGAGCACGCTACAAAGT